GGGCTGAGCAGGGCCTGCCTGCCAGGGCTTAAATAGCACGGCTTGGCAGGGCCCTGCGCAGGGCGTAGCAGGGCTTAGCAGGGCCCAGCAGGATTTAGCATGGCTTAGCAGGGCTTAGCAGGGCTTCGCAGAGCTTCGCAGGGCTTCCCAGAACTCAGCAGGGCTTGGCAGGGCCGTGCAGGGCCTGGCAGGGCTTAGCAGGGCTTGGCAGGGTTTGGCAAGCTTTAGCAGGGCACAGCAGGGCTTATTTAGCAGGTCTGAGCAGGGCTTAGCAGGGCACAACAGGGCTTAGCAAGGTTTAGCGGGGCTTACAAGGGCTTCGCCTCGGACCGCGCTCCGGCCCACGCCTAGCAGGGCTTAGCAGGGCCTAGCAGGGCTCAGCAGGGCTTGGCAGGGCCTAGCAGAGCTTAGCAGGGCCGAGCAAGGCCAAGCAGGGCCGAGCAGGGCTTAGCAGGGCCTAGCACGGCTTAGCAGGGCTTAGCAGGGGCTAACAAGGCTTAGCTGGACTTAGCAGGGCTTAGCAGGGCTTCGCAGGGTTTAGCAGGGCTTAGCCTTGGACCGCGTTCGGACCAGGGCTCAGCAGGGCTTCGCAGGGCTTAGCAGGACTTCGCAGGGCTTTGCTTCGGACCAACCTCGGACCACGCCGAGCAGGCCATAGCAGGGCGTAGCAGCGCTGAGCAGTGCTGAGCAGGCCTGCCTAGCAGGGCTTAACTAGCAGGGCTTAGCAGGGCCTTGCACAGGGCGTAGCAAGGCTTAGCAGGGCTTGGCAGGGCTTCGCAAGGCCTAGCCGGGCTTAGCAGGGCTTAGCAAGGCCCCTCGGCCCGCAGGGCTTAGCAGTGCTTAGCAGGCCTTTGCAGGGCTTAACAGGGCTCAGCAGGGCCTACCAGGGATAGGGGTCCACAGAGATCTGGGCTAGATCCTTGACATTCGTTGCGACACCCTCTCTTGGCCTTATTTGGGCGGCCACCGATGGATTTTGTTTTGTGTTTGCGGCGGGTGCGAAGTTTATCGTTTTGCGAGAATTGCCCGCCCAGAATATTGAAGAAAACGGGTGCTAAGAATAATCCAGGGGGGGTTCCTAATGCCTGGTCAGGGTTACTAGTGTGTCCCAGGGCCCCTTCACGCACGTCCTTTGTGGCCCCCCCCTATCGTTGCCCCCCAAACCCCCGTCCGTTCCTCCTCCGCGGCCGCCCTTCTCCTCTCCCGGGTTGTCCCTGCAGCGTGCCCCCCTGCCCGGGCGGGGCCCGCCGTTGTCCCGAACGCGCCGTGGCGGCCTCCCTCGCTGCTGGCCCAGCACGTTGGCAGGATCGATTCGGCGTCACCTCAACATGCTTATGCTGTATTTGCGTCGCCCCCCCAGGGGCGACGCGCGCACCGAGACATCTTACAGTATATGTGTCGCGGCGGGCGCTTTCTGGCCACACCGCTCGGGAAACGATCTACCACAAGATGGTTATACTGTACCTATACGACCAACCTTCGGGTGATAAGGAGGTCGTGGGGGGGGAGAGGGGGGGAACCAACATTTGTTTCAATCGATCTCACGATCGATCTCACTCAACAGGACACCCCGGTACACCACGAGACAATTTTCGATCTCACGATCGATGTTACTATCAATCTCATTCAACGGGACACCACGGGACACCACGGGACACCTCGGGGGCACCACATCGATCTCAGTATCGATGCCAGTATCGATCTGACTATCGATCTCACTCAACGGGACACCACGGGACACTTGTCGATCTCACTATCGATCTCATTATCAATCTCACTTTTGGGGACACCACGGGACACCACGGGACACCTCGGGGCACCACATCGATCTCAGTATCGATCTCACTATCGATCTCACTCAACGGGACACCACGGGATAACACGGGACACCTGTCGATCTCTTCATCGATCTCACTATCGATCTCACTTTTGGGGACACCACGGGACACCTGGGGGTACCACACCGTTCTCAGTATCGATCTCACTATCGATTTCACTCAACGGGGTACCACGGGACAGCACGGGACACCACGGGACACCGCGGGACACCGCGAGCTACCGCCGGACGGACGGACGGCGGGCGGCACCGGCCACGCGCGCGGCACCGGCCGAAGATCCGAACGAACTCTCCAAAGCAGAACCGCGATGGGCTGCGGTCCGACGGCGACAACGACGGCACAGCATACAGCACGGCACAGCATACAACGACGGCACAGCATACCATCATCACCATCATTATCATTATCATTATCATCATCATCATCATCATCATCATCATCATCATCATCATCATCATCATCGTCATCGTCATCGTCATCGTCATCGTCATCGTCATCATCATCACCATCATCATCATCATCATCATCATCATCATCACCATCACCATCACCATCATCATCATCATAATCATCATCATCGTCATCATCATCATCGTCATCATCGGGACACCGGCGGGACACTGGCGGGACACCGGCGGGACACTGGCGGGACACCGGCGGGACACCGGTTGCCGGAACGGAGACTTTTGGTCCGGAAGCGCCTCAGCCACAGGAGACTTTCTTCTCGCCCGCCCACGCAGCTTTGCCTCGCCCGCACGCACGGCACGCACGAACACGAAACCGAAATCGATTTCCCGGTAGGGGGGCTCTCCGTTCCACTTCGATCTCACCCCCCAACCTCCGATGTTCGGGTCGGACGCGCGCCTCCAAGGAGGACATCGATACCCATAGCCTTCTGTCGAGCCTGTCCCACTACAGGGGGAATATTCGAGAATAGTCGGAAAATAGTCAGGGGACCATTTTTGAATATTATTTCAAAGCCTTTATTATTATTATTGTTATTGTTCTTCTTCTTCCTTCTTATTATTATCATCATTCTTGTTGTTATTATATTTCAACCAAAATCCCCCTGTAGGAGGACAGGCCCGGCTGAACCATAGCCACTGCGGCTTGGGCTTCTCGGGAAGGGGCGCCAACAGCCTTGGCTCCACATCCAGCCCCTGAGGGCCAGGTTCTCTTGCCCACATCCCCTGCGCGCAGCCCTGGCCTCTGGGGGAGGGGGCCCCGAGCTCCGAAACGAAGCGGGCATGGCCAGACACCTCGCCCGCACGAGCACCTCGGGGTTTATCCTCGGGCCTGGGGCGGCGCCCCACTGCACTCGGCGCCCGGGGTTGGCCGCCCCCGAGCGAGCGGCAGGTGCTGCCCGGCACTGGGTCCTCCCTGCACTGCGCCGTCTCCTGAGGGCGCGCGGCGGCCGCGCTCGGGGCGCCGGGGGGCCCAAGGCGCGGAGCCCGGCTGTCCCCCCCCGCAGACTTCGGGGCCAGCCCTCGAAAGGTGCCGCACTGTGCTCCCATGGCCGCGGGGAGTCCTGGCGGGGGCACGGAATGACATGAACATAAAGAAGTAGGATATCCGCGCGGATTACTCGGATTCGCGCTGGGGCCCCCGGGCGGCGCCTCGCTTCCCTGGCGCACTCCGCGCGCCAGGGTCGAGGGGTTCCAGCGCAGATCTGAGAAGTCCGCGAGGACCTCCGAGTTTCTGTTTATGTCATTGTTTGTTCCCCGATGCTGAGAAGATCAGGGGGGGTTCACAGGATCGAAGTAACTTGCGTATTTGGCCTGACCTAGCTTACAAGTGGGTTGCAAGTGTCGTGAGCGGCGGACGGGGGGCAGAGATCTGGTTAAGTGGGCGAAGCCCACTTACCAGACTAAGATGATGTTATCACATCTCCCAGCCCCACATGCTGTTCTTATTTGTGTTCTCACCCATGGCACCGTCTGACACCGTCCTTGTGCATTGTTGTGCTTTTTGTTGTCGCGGCCTGGCGCATTGCCAGAGCAGGCGCGACCTCCCCTCCTGCCTCTTTGGGCCGCCTCGCCTCGACGCGAAAACGAGCGACGAGCTGGCGAGCGAACGATGGCGGGCGACGGACGTGTCGCCGCGCGGGCGGACAAGCGACGACTGTGGCGACGGCGTCGTGGAATCATGATCGTTTCCATCGCTCCAAGATGAGAGCAACCGCAGGTACATGAAATTTGAAGTTTTGCGCTCATCTCTTGGATCGGCCTCCAGCGTCGATCCACGGCTCGAGAGATCTGAGCCTCTTCATTCGCACGCGTGCTGGAGTCTCAGAATGCCCCTTGGCATCCTTGCCGAGCTCGATATTTCTGCCTCTAGCCAGGCTGCACGCACCGCAGGCTAAACAGATGACGACCGGACCAAACCTTTCAGCCTCGAAGCCGAACCCTCGACGAGCTTCGAAACCAAACCCGCTCCTCCTGCCTGCCTCCCCCCCCCTCGCGCGGTCAGCGGCCTCCGCCGACGGGCCCGGCGCGCCTGCACCGTCTCCTCTCCGAGTGAGCTCTTGCCCCCCGGGGCGGCCAGTCGTCTTCTGCAGGAGCTGTGGGGCCGTTGCGATGCAGGCGGCTTTCAGGCTTAAGGAAATTGCATGCCATCCCGATCCTCAGAATGGGGACCCAAGGAAGCTCAAGCGGAGAGAGTTGGCCAGGGGGACAGAGTATGGAGCTCTCGGGCCCCTGGCCCCTCCATTTCGAGCGCCCGGGCTCCTCAGATTCGTCTTCACATCCTCCTCCTCCCCCAGATCCTTTCGCGTCTGACCGAGGTACAGGCGCGCCCCGGGGTGGGGCCGAGATCCAGGAACGAGCTTACGCGGCGGATGTGGAGACAACGTGGTAGGTCGGGCGTTGCGTAATGGGGTAGGTGGGGGCGATGAACCATCTGGGGCTCTCAAGAGGCCCCTCTGTGAACGTTTTTTCTGTAAGTATTTCTGAGTATGTTTCGACTATTTTTTATGTTTCGCTCAAAATCCGCCTGTAGGATGACATGCCCGACCTAACCTTAATACGCGTGCACGTTCTGACTGTATCGAGCGACGTCCGAGTCGGAGATCTCGACTTCCACCCGCGCTGGTCGCTGCAGCCCGCGGCCCGGAGGCCGCGGCCCGGCGCCGCCGCCCCTCGGCGCGCCCCGCGCCCGCCGCAGCGGCCGAGGGCGCGGCGGCGGCCGTGGGCCCCCCCCCCCTGCGGCGGCGCGCCCCGAGCGGCGCCCGCGCGGGCCGCGGGCGGCCGGCGGGGGCGCCGCCGATGGCCGCCCTGACGCGGGTGCACCCGAGGCGGGCTCGGGGCCCGCGGCCTCGGGGCCTCGCGGCCTCGGGGCCTCGGGGCCCCGCGGCTTCGCGGCTTCGCGGCTCGGAGCTTCGCGGCTCCGCGGCTCGCGGCCCGCGGCCCCGAGGAGGAGGAGGAGGAGGAGGAGGAGGAGGAGGAGGAGGAGGACGAAGAGGAGGATGAGGAGGAGGAGGAGGAGGAGGAGGAGGAGGATCAACCATTGGGTACCGTCGACTCCGTCCGAGGTCTTACTTGATCGTAGGCTGGGGATCGCCAAAGATATGACTGGAGAGCAACGATTGCTCGCTGTGCAGCGCCTGATTTTGAGTTTCTACTTATATAACTCGACTCGGAGTCAGGCCAATGTTGATCCAACGTTGATTGCACAGCATGCCCTTGCTGCCAGAGCGCAGCTACTGCAGCAATTGGACGATCGAGCGAGCTAAGCGACTACGAACTCATTCCGAGCTACGTGCGAGGAGGAGGAGGAGGATCCACTCCCCCTCCAACTTGTGGTGGTGGTGGTGGGGAGCAGGCCCATCAGCTCGGGCGTCGGCGGGGCTGGCGCTGGTGCTGGGGCCCAGGGTCGTGCTCGGTGTCCGATCGGAGCCGAGGTTCCTCCGGACACGGTGCTCTCAATGCGGGCGGTGTTCCTCGATGTCGGCCTCCGTGGCCCAACATCGGGCCCCGCCCTGGGGTCCACCCCAGGCTCGGCACGATCGAGACAGGTGCGGAGAGGATGGGGACAACTACCGACAGCAGTTCCTGTCCGTTTTGAGTCAGGCTCTCTATCGGGGTCGCCGAGGGCGTTGTCCATTCGAGGCCGCAGGTCGCCCGCCCAACAGCGGCCGCTGTCGGTTTTGGACAACGTTGACTGTTGGGCATTGTGCCCATTTTCTGTACCTGAACAGGGGCGGCTGGTCCGATCCGATTCCATGTTTCCGACGATCTGTTTTCTCATCCAGGCGGAGTTCCCCCATTTCAGTTTCGGGAGCCAGCTGGGCCCCAGTACCATCAAGAACTGGTCCTGTGGGCGAATAGCTGGCCCCAGGGAAGGTCCCGACCCGCGCGACTTGAAACATTCATATCGCCAGACGTCTGGGATTTCGGCAGGTCCGATCCGATGCGATTCCAGTGCTCCTGGCGTGGCCGACCCGTGCCGATGCGGCCCGATCCTACGCGCGTTCCGACCCGATCCGACCTCCCGGTTCCCAGACATCCGACGTCGTGTGCCCTGGGCCTGCTCGTGCTGGCTCCAGGGTCCGAACCCGAGAACGGCTCCCTGGAGGCCAAAGCAAGACAAAACCTGCCTTAACTGGTCAGATCGGATCGTTGGAATTCTCATCCCAGCCCCCCGACGTCACCTTTTTTCATGACGTGAACCACCAGAAGTCTGGGCCCCTTCCCCGGGACGGGTTGTCCACCCCGAGCTGTTTTTTTTTGCAGCCCCGTGGCCTGGGCCCCTTGATGCTGAGAATGACACGACCTCTCCCGCCATGCTTTTTCACTACTCGAGGGGTCCTGGATGATGTTTACCTCTTCCCTGTGGACAGTTTTTCCCCCGAGATTTGTTTTGCACGGTCCTGGGGCCCGATAGCCGCCCCCCCTCCGAGGCCGAAACGAGAGGGAAGCCGCTGGCATCGAACAACTCGGATCGTCGGAGATCAGGGTCATCGATGCTGACCGATCTGGCCCGAGGCGGCATGGGAAGTACCCCTCTTAATCATCATCACCACCATTATCTGATTGCCCGGTTCCTCTGACGCTTCTCGTCGCACATTTAGTATGATCAGCATAATATTCATAACCACCATCACCGTTCATATTATTGTCACCATCATCATACATCACCATCACCATCACCGTCACCACCATCACCACCATCACCACCATCATCACCATCATCACCGTCACCATTATCATCATCACCACCATTATCATCATCAACATCATCACCATCGTCATCATCATCATCGTCACCATCATCATACAACCATCAGTATCATTATTAATCATTCACGTCATCAACATCAACGCCATCTATCACCATCATCATCGTCGTCGTTGTATAATACCAATCAGTACCATCATCATCACCATCATCCTCATCATCAGCATCTTCATCATCATTCTTATCACCACCATCATCGCCACCATCATCACCAGCATCACCATCACAATCACCATCACCATCACCACCATCATCACCATCATCAGCATCATCATCATCATCATCATCATCATCATCATCATCATCATCATCATCATCATTACTAGCATCACCATTACGAACATCGTCATCATCATGATCATCGAATGAACTACCATCATCAGCATCATCATCATCACCGTCATCATCATTCTCATCACCACCATCACCAGTATTGGCATCAGCATCAGCATCAGCATCATTATCATCATCTTCTTCATCATCGTCATCACCATCACCACCATCATCATCACCATCATCCCCATCATCGCCATCACCATAATCATCATCATACGCATCATCATCATCATCATCATCATCATCATCATCATCGTCATCGTCATCGTCATCGTCATCGTCATCATCATCAGTATCATCATGGCCATCATGATTACCATCATCTGTTGCCTTGATGGCTCAATTCGTATAAATGCTCGCTGGGGCATAGAATTTGTGTGCAGCCGTTGCGAGGGCCGAAGGACGCTCACTGGGAGTTTCTCCGCACTCTTCCGCCTCAGTCAGCTGCGCTGCTATTGGAGGCCTTCTGTTTCGGCACTTTCCGTCTTCTCTTCGGCCTTCTGTTTCGGCACTTTGGATGCCGCTCAGTTGAGGCTCATCACGCGGGACATGCTGGCGCCAGTCATCCTGAACATCTCGCATGCCGGCAACATTCTCACCAGCTTCGAAAACCGACTCTCGGAGGGCAACGCCAAGAACACGAGCTCGATTGTCGACATACAGAATCACGTCACCGCACACGCTTCGAGAATGGAGGAATTCGAGAAAGCGGGAAGAACTTTCATGCGGTGGAGATGCAAAGACGGAGGACGTTTTTGAGGTTGTTGCCGCGTACTTTTAAGCAGCGCGACTGCAAGCCCTCGGGGCTCAGTTTGCTGACCTGGACCAGGAACTCAAAGGAGCAACGACATCATCTGCCACATCTTCCACAGGCACACCTCCAGTACGGCTTGCTGTTCACCCCACCTTCCGTTCAGACAGATCCAGTTATTGGCCTGAGGGTTCCCCAAGAAGCAGTTGAAGGTCGTCTTCGAGAGACACTTCAGCATCACCAGGCGCCCCATGCCAGGTGAGTATAGCGAGGAGTGCCATTCTAAGTGTCAGAGCCTGCGGTTGACCTTTGCCATCATATTCGACGGGGCCGAGCACGCCAAGGCTTTTCACGAGCACGCGAGAGACCGTCCCGTTCATTTCGCACAGGCCTGCGCGGGCAATCGCTACGACTTGCGCATCGGTGTCGTCGAGCCGTGCGATGTCAAGAAAATAGGATTGACCTCTCCAGGGGCCCGTTTGTTGCGTTGGCTGAGGTTGAGGTGTGCGCGAAGTACGTGGGCGACGAGCTCAGGGCGTGCATTTCCAGATTTTGCGCGCAAGCGGACATTCGTATATTAACGCTTTGTTTTAATGCATGCGCATTATCGCGAAGGGCAATCTTCATGGAATTGAAAGGTGTGTGTGTGCGTGTGTGTGCATGTCTTGAGCTTGAATGACGAGCGCGCGCGTGATTACGCGCTATTGCACGAACATGCTCGTATCCTTTAAGAGCGCATTTTTCGCGCTGGAGGTCCGTGGGCACGAAAGAGGTGTTCAATATCAACCTCACGGTGGGCGCGCGGTCAACTTCTCAAACTTTGGAAGGCACTGCTTCCGAACAGTAGGCGCTTTTCTATTGCTGGCGTACTGGATGGCGACGGGCACGAATCCGCCTTTCTCGAGGATGGCGGTCGGGGCGTATGTGCGCGGCTGCTTCCGGCGCGGATGTCCCGGATCATATCCCCGACATGATTCGTGCCCTCTGTCATGAAAGTCTCCCCTGGCATCGAGTGGTCCGCCCCGTTTTCGAGCTCATGGTTTGTTTGAAGCGCAGGGGAGATTGCGCGGCCGGGCCCCGTCTCGACCCCTGCCTTGCCGGGCCAAGAGCAGTCTGAAGCGTATGGAGATGTCGTGCGATGCGTACTTCGCGATGGCGTCGCACGCCCCTTTGCCTGCCGAGTTGAATCGCGGCGCCGCCGTCTTCTCGCCTCTCGCCAGAGGATGGCGAGGATGAGGCGGCGCTGCTCGCGCAGAGAACCCTCCGGGAAACGATGCCGCTGTTTCTCGGCAGCGCTGACAGTGAGATGTGCTCCTCTTTGCTCGGTATCTCCGTCGGCCTGCAGGCGCGCTTCTCTGCGCGCGGCAATCGGGCGGGCTTGATCAATGGGCGCACTGTGCTTGGCGACATTATGAAGATTGAAGCGCGCTTTCTAAGACGTGTTGTTTTCCTGGACTCCTGTCAGGCTGTTCTTTTTTTCTCCTGGACTTATCGGCTGCGTTCCCCCGCGTTGCCCGCTCCTGGATTTTCGCGCATCTAAAACGCAGGTGCATTCCCAATGTGTTCTTCGTTCGGTACGTCAACCTCATGTATTTTTACACATTCCATGATATTCGGCTTGCTCGTGGGTATTGAGTGGCACTAACCCGCCGGGATAATCAAGCCCGGGCGCCCGCTCTCGGTGGCCTCGTGGGCCATTGCGAGCCACCTTGCATTTCGCGACTAAATTTTCTCACGCCGCTGGCGCGGCCTTTCGCATTTTCTGATGGTCCATGCATTGTTTCGAGCGACTTGGCCGCATCTCCCCCGATCCTGCTGCGCCCCGTCTCTCGGGCGGCGCCCCTGACGGAGCTCGCTCTGAACGGGGGGGAACGTTGTTCGGTCTCTTTTGTGCCGGGCGCCCCGCGCGAGATAAGGGCCGCGTTCCGTGGCGCTGGGGTTCGGGCGCCCAATTTCCCCATCAATACTCG